CGAGGTATCTGTCCTAAGCCCTTTCAATCCTACTTATATAACTATATCCATATAGACATGATTTTGACAATATATAAGTTTAAAAGAGTTTTGATAAAGTGTTTTGCATATAAAAGAGTTTATAAAATGATTTGAAGCAGTTTGTTTGATAACACAGTTTGAAGTATAAGAAATCCAGTTGTTTGATAGTTATTAATCACATATGATTGATATAATAACTATAAATGTTTCTACTTGTATTCCCCCCCCCCCCATAAAAGCATTTAAAATCATTTAAAAGATAAGTTAAGGGGTATGAACTCACCTTCAGTGAGTGATACGAATGAAAGATCGATAAAGGATGTTAAGTGTCAAGTGAAGCCTCGAGCACAAACGGATCCTAATAAGCATATAGTGACACATATATGTATATAATTAGTGTATATACAACTAATCATGCAAGGAAAACACCTTATAGACTAGGAAACACTTAGATTGAAGTGTTATAATCACATATGATTGCATCAAAGGGGTTTACGGCCACACTAGGGTGTGTACGGCCATTGGTGTGTACGGCCAATGGGTGTACGGTCATGGAGTGTACGGCCGTACACTCATGGATGAAGTATGCAAAAAGGGTGTTTTATGGCCCTATGTAGCATCCATTAAGTGTTTATGATCAAGTGTAGGGATATGGGGTGTTTTTTAGGCCAATACATGCAGTAAACAAGGGTTTACGACCATATGAGGTGTGTACGGCCGTACACCCTTCATGTTTATGCATTAAGATGACGATCCAAGGCTAAAAACAAGTGTTTCGCAAGCTTAACTAGCAGATAGGAGAGATACTCACACTTTTGAAGGCTTCTAAGGAGTTCACGGCCCAAGAACAAGTAGGTGTTCTTGATGTTCTTGGTGTTCTTGAAGATCTAACCCAAAAGAGGTGATTTCACGGATGAAATCAAGGGATTTTACTAGATCAAGAAGGATAATCAACTAAAAATGGAAGGAATGCTTACATTTTTGAAGATCCACGTGAAATGCTTGATGATAGTTGAGAGAGAATTGACTTTTCTTGACTTGGAAGTGTAAGAAATGAAGAATAATGAAGGATTATCCTTCATAAAGGCATGAGTTCACGGCCACAATGGGTGTACGGCTGTACACCCATGTGTACGGCCGTACACTCCTCTTGAAGGAGTGTTTGGTCCGATTGCAATACTATGAAGTTAAGCTAACTCATCCTTAAACCCAAACCTTGAATGTACTAGGCTTAGAACACTCAAACATACCCTAAACAATGCTAAAAGATAGCAGGAACGAGTCTGACTTTGATTGAATTGAATGACTGTACAAGATAGAAATTTTGGGTTGTCACACATAACCATCGGGTTGGAATGCCCAGGTCTGTTGGCTATCGCACAAAGCAGAGGAGCCTCAACCACCAATCAACATGTGCACATATATCAGATAATCACATAACAGTCTATAGACATACAAACCGATCTAACCGATCATACTAGCATAACATCATCCTATCTACCACGATATTGATCTACAGATCATAGCAAGATAATACCATCCTATCTACCAGGATGCTAATCTAACAGCTCATACTAGCATAACATATCAGAGTAACAATCAAAAAGGGCCGACCTTGGTGCCTTAGACCCTTGAGCATAGTTAGGAAAACTCACCTCACAGCTGTCGAACTGAAGTGATAAGCTCAAACTCTCGAACCACATCCACAAACTCCACCACCTATATTTACCATGAGACCACTCCCATAAATTCCCAATTACTAAAATACCCCTCCAGAGGTCAAATTGGTCAACCCTTGGTCAAAGTCAAAGTCAACAGTCCATGTTGACCCAACTCGTCGAGTGCAGCTAG